CTCCTGCCAGACCCATCTAACCACAAAGACTTATGGCCACCACTCCACATGTATCCGGGGGCGGTGGGGGGGGGGCTTCACTTCACTGCAGCTGGGAGATAGACACTTTCCCACACAGAAGGCCCTCTCACTTGGCAGACCTCGTTCCTAGACCATTGGTCACCAGACATCCCCCTTACCAGCCTAGAAGTTCCACTACCAGTGATTTAGGACTTAAATGAGGAAGTATCTCTGTTAACTGCCCTCCAACATTTAACAACATTCAACATATTAGTCATTGACACTCTAGTGTGAAGGAGCTCACAGCTCCTCCTTCTACCTGCCTGTCCCCCTCCACCCCCCCACCCCCCGCCCAGGTAGGTGGATGCTGCCTAAGGAGACCTCATTAACCCATTTTTGTAGAAGGACAGGTGTGAAAAGAGAAACAGAATAAGAGACGTCACCGGGAGGCAGATGGGACAGAGGTGGAAGGCAGAAAGGAGAAAAGAGGGGGGTTTTGGGGGAAGATACCAGAGGATGGGAAGTGGGACAAATGTTAAGCAGAAGGCCTCTCATTTGTCCATCCCTTCACAGTCAACAAAGCACAGTCACAGGAGAGTCCCCAAGCCTTGTATCATCCCCACTTTCCAGATGGGAGGGCTGAGGCCCAGAGAGAAGGGACCCACTCTAGATCACACAGAACACCCAGGTCTCCTGACTCCAAATCCAGGTGCCCGGTCCTGCCACTCTGTTGTCTTGCCCCCACTCCCAAAGGTGCAGGCCTCTCCTCTCCAGGATTCCTGAGGACGGCAGAAGGCCCTCTTGCAGGGCTAATTTATGGTTTTCTGACAGCTTCCTTCCTACCGTTCCCTTCTAGCTGCAGACCCAGCTCCATGAGGAAGGAATGAGCTGGGCGAGAAGGGCAGCTCCATGGAGCGTAAATAACTTGTCCAGGCAGCTGCAGGCTCTTGGAGGGGCCCCCAGCAACCCCCGCCCTGGCCCAGCGGGGTGTCCCCTGCTCTGGGATGGAGGGGCAACAGGGCTAGGCCTCCAGATCAAAGGCACAGAAAGCGGGCATTGTTCCCCAACCTGGAAACGCTTGGGGAAGGCCTAGCCCTCCGGCCCTACCCTTTGTCTGGGCAGAAGCTTTGAAGGCCACTGACATTTACCCAGTCCCTTCCCTTTCATGACACCCAGGCACTGCCTGGACCACGAGGCCTGGGCCCCTCGGGGCTGCTGCCCTGGTTATATGGGCACCCCTTGGCCCCCCACCCCCTTGAGCTGCTTCCTCACCTCCAGAATCGGGACGATGTGGGTACAGATCAGGTGGGGCTCCCGGGCTCAGCCCAGCCAGTATGCAAACAGGGCTGATGATCACAGGGGCACCCCTGAGCCAGGGAGGCTGTCCTGTGGGACACAGGCAGAGGAAAGGGGCCCTCAGCACAGGCTCCAGTGGGGGTTCACGGGGAAGGAGCCTGTGGCCCAGGTTTGTTTGCTATGAGAACAGCATTTCCTGTTTGGACTAGGCCGAGGGGACGTGTGGGTGAATCCACACCAGAAGGGCTGCGTTTCCTGGACCCCACGGCCTGTTCCAGGACGGTGTGTGTGTGTGTGTGTGTGTGTGTGTGTCCGTGTCCCTGTGTGGTCCACACACGTGTGTTGTGCCCATGTGTTTTCTCTCACCTCATCAGCTTCCAGACAGGCATCTAAATCTGAGCCAAGTTCTCTTTTTCCCTAAAGAAGCCCCCCGTGGGGCTCGCCCAGAGGGTGCCCGTGTGGCCTGGTGGTGTAGGCCAGCACCCCTTGCTCCCTGGCCAGCCTCAGGCGAGCCACACACCTAGGGATACTAAGGCAGCCTCCCTGGGGACAGAGAGGAGGGTGGGAGACAATGCAAGCAAAATGCTTAGCACAGCACCTGGCACGGGGTCAGTGCTGGGGAACGGAAGCTGCTGTCTTACTGGTCTGGTCTTGGCAGCACATAGCACCAGGCCCTGAGGCAGGAGGCCCACAGGGACAGGCCCAAGACCTCGAGCCTGCGGGCCCCTCTCCCGTCTGCCTCAGCAAATGCTGCAACCTCAAATGACCAAGCCCCAGGTCTCCGCAGCATTTCCTGCCCTTCCTGTGCAGGGAGGAAAGAGGACCAGAAAACAGGATGACATTTCCCAGGAAACTGTGTGCTTAAAGAGGGGGCTTTCAAAAGGCCGTGCCCCAGGACCACCACATGGAGACCCAAAGCTTTCACACTTTCCCAGAAGCTAACTCCTGAGCCAGAGGGATCTTGAAAAGGTCCAACGGCTTGTTCTTTCAGGCAAGGAAATGAGACTCAGAGAGGGGAGGTGACTTGTCTTACATCACACAGCTCCCAGTGGTTGCTCTGGAATCGACACCCGGGCTTTTGGGGGGCTGACACCAGGCGAGAACCCCCAGGCATCACCAACAAGAGGCTATAGGAGACCCCAGGGGATCCCAGCCTCAGCCAGGACAGGTCCCCCTCTGACATCCAAATATGGATAACACCTTTTCCTTGGAGGATCCCTTGTTGAGAGGTCCCTTTATAGAGAGGGTTCTCTTGCTGGAGAAATCCTGCGGTGGCCTGCAGCTCCCATGAGCTTGGTGGCAGTGGTAAAGGAATGTGTATGCCAGTAATCACAGGAGCAAATAGAGCCAGCAGTCTCCACGTCCTGTGGCACCCGGCAGGGGTTCCCGGACATCCGGCAGTCCCTCCAAGCCAGACAGAAGCCAATGCCCAGCCTTTCTCCTTCCTACAGAGCTGCATGCCCTCCAAGGTGCCCTTTGAGGAGATGGGTTTTTTTTATCCTGCCTACTTACCCAGGGCTTGATGGGGCTCAGGAGATGGCCCCTTGGGAGTGACCAGTCATCCAGGGGATGAAGTCACTGATCTCGTTGTGGCAAAAACAAAGGCTAACCAGGGAGCCTGGGTGGCTCAGTTGGTTAAGCAACTGCCTTCGGCTCAGGTCATGATCCTGGAGTCCTGGGATCGAGTCCCGCATCGAGCTCCCTGCTCAGCAGGGAGTCTGCTTCTCCCTCTGACTCCCCCCTCTCGTGCTTTCTCTCTAGCTCATTCTCTCTCTCAAATAAATAAATAAATAAAATCTTAAAAGAAAAAAAAAAACACAAAGGCTAACCAGAGAGGCACCAAGCTGCATTTTGGGAGGTCAGAGAGAGGGCATAAAGTAGGTGCCCCAAAATTGCACATGGAAGAGGAGGCAGCTCCCCAAGGGGGCAGAGTTGATGCTGTGATGATGTCTTTGGAGGAAGTGGGGCATGTTTCGGAGGAAGTGGGGCCAGGTGACGCAGGGGACAGTGGATGCCAGGGCGTAGCCATGACATCTCATGGCCACACCCACATAAGGAACACGCCGCTGTCCTTACAAAGAGAAACTGAGGCTGGAGAGGGGCAGGACTGGCCCAAGCTAGCTTGGGCAAAGGCAGCAGAGCCAGGGTTTGAACGCTCGGGTTGGGGGGGGCAGCTCCCTCTATATTGGCATGCCCTCTCCCGTCCTGCCCAGCCCTGGGTGAGTCCCGGGGAGGTGGCCCCTGGGAATCCGAGGTAGGGGCTGGCAGATCCTGCTGGAGTGTTTCTAGCAGAGATCCCGGGTCTGGGTCTGGACAAGACACAGCAGGATCCTGAAGGGCAGGCCCCTGGTGCACTGCCAAGCTGGGTAGGGGGCTCCCCAGCCCAGGACTGCTTGCTGCATGTCAATCCAGGCAGAAGAGGAGGTTAGAGACTGTCCTGAGATTTTGGAGGGGTCCCCTCTAATGATAGCTGTGGTTCCTCCCCACAAACACACACACCTACCACAGACATCCATCACACACCTGCACACAGGCATCACACACATACCACAAACACCCATCATACCTGCACACACACACATCACACACGTATCACAAGTACCATCACATATGCACACATCGTGCACACGCACACTTGCATACACCTTTGAGGGCTTCATACCTCTCTCCCCAGAAGCTCATCCAAGTACCCCAGAAAAAGAAACTCCACTCTAAGCCAATCTTTACCTTGTTATAGACAGGGAAACTGAGGCCCAGACCAACATGCTATCTGCCCTCTTCCCTAATTGTGCTTAAGAGCTGACCCCTCTTTGGGGCGCCTGGGTGGCAGTGGCTCAAGTCATGATCTCAGGTTGTGAGATCAAGCCTCACCACGGGCTCTGTGCTGGGCATGGAGTCTGCTTAAGATTCTGTCTCCCTCTTCCTCTGCCCTTCCCCTCTCCTCCATAAAAAAGAGCTGACTTCTCTGAAGTCAGAAGATATGAGTTCAAATCCTGGCTCTTCCAACCACTGACATACCGAGCCTCTCTGTGCCTCAGTTTCTCCATTTGTAAAATGGCAGTAAGAGTGGACACTGACCTTATGACCAGCCCAGGTCTTCTCCTGGCAGGGACGGCCACGAGTGCCTGGGCCTCAGTTTACTTCTCTGTGTAATGGGAATGATAGTGGTTTGAAGGTTAAACAGAGACAGGATGTGAAGTGGAGGCGGGGTGCCCTGCACACAGTGGCGCTCACTGCTCGGGAAGCCTTTGTTGCATGCATGGATGCATCCCGCACGCCTTGGGAACTGGCGCTCTCAAAAATGTTGGGAGGGGATGAGGGCCCTGGCATCATTAGTTCAGGCGTGGCGGCTCTGGGTCCGGGATCAGCTCCCCCGCCTGCAGCACGTGAGAGGACACCTCCGAACTGGCCCCCTGGCCCCCAGAGGGTCACGCGGCGAAGGGCGCCGGGCTCAGGTGGGCACCTGGCGGGCCTCCCGGCGGGGGCATCCAACCCCCCGGGGCTCCTTCCGGGTTGGCAGCGGCGGCGCAGGGGGCGGGGGGCCGCGCCGCGGGGCCGGGCGAGGCCGGGAACGCGCGCCCCCGCCCCGCGCCCGCCTCCCGCCCGCCCTCCCGTAGCCGCGCTGGGAACCCGGCTCCGCGCGTCGGGGGAGGCTGGCGGCGCGGGCGGGCGGGGACGGCAGGCTGGGGGCGGCTACGGCGAGGGGCCGCGCGCGGAGGGCGCCGGGCGCAGCATGGGCGGCCCGCGGGCCTGGGCGCTGCTGTGCCTCGGGCTTCTGATCCCCGGAGGCGGCGCCGCGTGGAGCGTCGGGGGAGCCCAGTTCTCCGGACGCAGGTAAGGGTTGCCTCCCACCACCTCTGTGCCCTGCCAGCCCCGGGGCAGGGATTCCAGGCACTCCCCCCCCCCCCCCCCCCCCAACCTCCGTGCAAGCCAAGGATTGGGAAGGGGACCTGGCCCCCCATTTCGGTGCCAGCCAGATGGGAGTAGGGACCTGGGCCAGCCCCGCTATCTGGAGGAGGCTCCCGGCAGTGCGGGGGTCCTCGACTCCGTGTGTCCGGAGCCGACATTCCCCTCCAGCCCCCTCCACCCGCCACCACTTCACCTCCAGAGCCCCAGAGGAGGGGGAAGGGAACAACCGGGGAGAAGCCCGCCTCCTGGGACTTCCATCGCCCTAGCTCAAGGGCCCCCTTGCCTGCACGTAGGAAAAGCCCAGCACATCCCCTGGCTGACCCTTGGGGACCCCCGCTCCCTTTTCCCTGCTCTCGGCTTTTTTTAGTACCCCGGCTATTTATTTCCCTCGGAGGAAGAAGACTGGGATGGAATTTCACAGATCCGTAGGTCAGTGGCCACCCCAGAGATCTGGCATTTTGCACAGAGACTGGAGAGAGCATTCTGTGTTCCTGCCGCTGTTTCTGGAACTGGGGACACTCTCTCTTTTGGTGTTTGTGGGGCATCTCCCCAGGGAGGAGCCCCTTATTTGCAGTGTGGTCATTAATCCTTCAAGGACTGAGTAAGGTAGGAAGCACTGTCCCCATTTAGCAGATGAGCAAACTGAGACCCCAGAGAATCAACATAATCTTCTGGGCTCATGGGCCATTAATAGAAGTGCTGGGATTCTAATCTGTGTCTTTCTGGCCGTGATAACAGTGTTTGAACCTGTCCCCTGTCCTGGCTGCAGCCCCCACCCCTGCTGGGGTCCCCTCTCAAAGGCCAGCCATTTGTCTGAGGCAGACAATGCTGAGTAGCCAGGCCTCTTCAGGCCTTTTCATCCCATTCAAAGGCCTTTCCCGGCCCCCACCCCCTAGGGCCTCAATTCTTTAATTCTTTTCAGAAATTCCCTTTCCCAGTGGTCAGGGGCCATCATGCCCCTGCTGGGCTAGCAAGAGCAGGTGACATGGCTGGGGCTGGAGGGCAGAGGTGGCCAAGGCATCAGAGGCCAGAATAGCAGGCATCTGAGGCAGGGACAGGCAGGTGGCAGATATCACAGCTGCCGCCACCTACTGTATGCTGACCGCAGCTGACCTGGGCTGGGCATTTTACCTGCATCCACCACCTCCAGAATCTTCCCAACTGCCATGGGAAGCATGCATTTTGATGGTCCCCCTTTCATAGAGGAGAAAGCTGAGGCTCAGAGGGAGAATATGACCTGCGCAGGGCATGAATGTGAACCCCCCCGATCCTAGGTGCCAAGATGACCAAGACCCTAAACTTGAATTCCCAGGGTCAGGCTCAGGATGATGGTGCAGAGGGCTTAAGGTCCAGACTGCCCTCCAACCAGTCCAAGGGCAGGGCCTCGCAGCCTGGGCTTCTCACTGCCCGTCCCCCACCCCCAGGGCTTCCTGGGTCGGAGCAGGATGGTGGCCCAGGGCAGGTAGCTGGTGGACCTGGAAGGCTCACAGTGGCCTAGCATCACCAAAACCCTGTGGGCAATGCCGTTTTTCCCATTTTACAGATCAGACTGGGGCTCAGAGAGGGGGAGTGGCACCTCAATCCAGGCCAGCCAGTTTCCCAATCCAGTGTCCTTGGCACCCAAAAAGAACGTGTCAGCTTGTGGGTCTGGGAGAGGTTTGCAGCTCGTGGTTAGGAGGCCAGGGCTCTGGCGCTGGCTCTGGCACTCACTCAGTGTGTGACCTCAGGCAGGTCCCCTCCTTCCTCCCCTTGCCCCCTAACCACTGGCCTGTTCTGAGGGGGGACGGACCCCCACAGGAAGGATGAACAGTGGTTCCTGCTATCACTGACATTAGGTGGAGGAAGGGACCCCTAGCTGGAGGAATCTGTGGTCCTCAGCTGCCAGGACCTCCCCTTGTGGCCACGTCCCAGCATTGATGGAGATGTCACACCCCAGCCCTCCCTCCACCCCCAGCCCAGCACCCCAGGCACCCCTTGGCAGCCAAGGGATCAGAGGCAGAAAAGAGGCTTTGTGCCTGGGGAGGGGGAGGACCTGGAAGGCATCCAAGGGGCTGCCCCAGCCCCAGGAATGTGGCAAGACTTTGAGACCCCCAGAACCAGGGTGTCCAGGGGCTGTGCAGGGCTGCCTTGGCTCACCCCTGCCCCCTGTCGGTCCCCTAATCCCCGCTGGGGCTGCTTCCTGCCTGCCCTGAAGTCCCTTCCCTCCTGATTCCCTGTTTCCTTTAATGACCCCATCTCAGCACTGTGGTTCTTGAGTAGAAGCTGTCACCAGTGTCCTGGCCCAGGCCACTTCCTCCTGCAGGATGGGCTTCCTCGGGGCAAGTCCTAGAATCAAGGAGAGGGGAGAATTCTCTTCCCCAGCTCCTCTCCCGGGAGCTCAAACCCCAGCTCTGTGCCCACATGGGTGACCCGGCCACGTGACTTCTCTTGGCGCCCCAGGGTCCGCCCCTGTAAAATGCAGAGCCTGGCATTCCCTATCGCAAAGTCAAGGGAAGGACCTTGCACAGAACGTGCCATGCTGGGGTCCCTCAGGGAAGCCGCCAGACCCCAGCTGTGGGGCGTGGGGTCCGAGTCCCAGTCCAAGAACAACAGCTCTCAGCACGGGGCGATGCGGTGTGTGTGAAATCTCCTCTGTCAGAGGAGATTCTGCCATCCCCATCTGCAGATGGACCAAGTGAGGCGCCGACAGGGTCAGGGCCTTGTCCAAGGTCGCCAAGTTAGGAAGCAGCAGGGCCAGGACTGGAACTTGGCCTTCAGAGTGGGGTTCTGGCTCTAATCACCCCGCCCCCACCTTGTACGTCTCCTTTCTTTCCTCTTCTTTTCATAACAGCCCTTGGCCCCTGGCCCGCTTGGCTGCCTCCTGCAATTAGCCCCTATCACTGTTCCGGATCGAAGCCTTGGGCCTCGCAGAGACAAAGTCCCCTGGGCCCCCGTGGCAGGGGGTGGAGGGCAAGTGGGTGGGGGGCATTGTGGGGGCAGCCGGTGCCAGGCTGAGCTGGTCTGGCTTGTTTTCTCTCCTCCGGCAGCCTCTGGGGGCCCGGGAGGTGCTGAGTGGGCACGAGTGGCAAGCCTGGAAGGGAAGTGCCTCCTCCTCCCACCCCCTGCCCTAGCCCCATCCCAGAGGCTCAGCCTCGAGGGTTCTCGGGTACCTTCTCACTGACCACGTCCCAGGAGATAGGGCCCCCAGGGGCGGCAGGATTGTAGGCAGGCTTCCAAGTACTGTACACATCTCTGGGAACCTGGGTCCTGGCTCCTCTGCCCAGGCCCACTGTCTGTTCTTGGTCATTCAGTCATTCAGCAAACATCCCTGTACACCCTCAGGCTGAGCCCCATCGTGGCTTGGTCCCTGCCAGTGCCCTCCCTCGGCATCTGCAGGGAAGGGAAAAGCTCAGGGCTGCTGAAGGGGACCCCTGGAGGTGCCCCACCCCTCCTGGGACCTTAGGACTGAGACCTAACGGACAAACAGGAGGTTGCTGGAGCCGAGGGAAGGGCTTTCCGGGCAGAGGGACTCTGAATGCAAACATCTGAGGTGGGGGAGAGCCAGCACTTGAAGGGAGCGCAGAAAGCTGGAAGAGGGACAGCAGGAGTGTGCAGGAGAACAGCATGCAGGACGGGGCAGTCTGGGCTCACAGGGCAATGGGGAGCCATGGCGGACTGCAGACTCACAGCAGGCGGTGGCAGCATTAAGTCTGTGCTTTAGAAAGGGGTCCTGCAGCCCTGGTGGAAAGTAGACAGAGGGTCCAGGCCAGGGCTCTGCAGAAGAACTTGGATTTATCCTGGAAACAGCGGGGGCTGGAGTCTTCAAGGTCGGGGAGTGGTGGGATGTGGTTATTGGTGACTCCCCATGCCCCAGGGGAGGGGCCAGGGACTAACCTTAAACCCCAGATAGCCTGAGTATCCCCTTCTGGCTAGTCAGCCATCAGCCCCATATCTCCTAAGCAGGGAATTCAAGCAAACTCTAGCTCATGGGAAGTAAACCAGGGAGCCAGGCAGTGACCCACCTGGGGGCGATTTTAATTAAGGAAGAAGAAGAAAATTGTTTTCTCTAGCTCCCACCCCCGGTAAAGAGGAGCAGGTCAGGCAATTGTGGGCGGTCCCAGGCCCACCTCCCCCAGCCCAGTCCACGGTGTGGGCATGGAGGGAGGGGTGTGTGCGCATGTGCATATGAGAGCACATGGCCCTGTGTCTGTAGACACCACTCAGGAAGCCCCCCCAAAACTTGCACTCTGAGTTTTATGCATTTTTCTGGAAAGGAGCCACACCGACATCACTTTCTCAAAGGGGTTTATGGCCCCCCCCCACAACAAACAAAACTCCAGGTTCAAAAGCACAGCTGTAGAGACCCAGGAGATCTGAAGGGCAGGGGGGCCTTTTTGAAATGTATTTTTTAACTTTTAAAATCCCCACCTGCTCATTAGAAGAAAAATTGCCAGCCAGAGGTTAAGAGTGCAAACTCTAGGGTCAGACGGACCTGAGTTCCAACCGTGACTGTGTTGCTCCTCCGGGGTGTCTGCGGCACATCCCAGACCCCAGAGCCTCAGTGTTCCCATCTGTAAAGTGGTGCTCATAATTGGCGTGGGAAAGGCCCTGGCCCCAGCTCCTGGTGTGCGGCAAGCATGATAACCGAAGGCTACAGTTAGTCCTGGAGACAGAGTGGAGTCTCTGCCCCCAGAGGTGGCAATTTGACGCGAGCCTGTGATTTTTCCTACCTTTATGCACATACAACTATGTACGTGTGTATACGTATAAGTAGTCTTTGGGCTTTCTTATTTGGATAGAAACACAATCGTTCTCCGCCTGTTGGTCTGCACTTGGGTTTTTCACTTAACCAGACACGGTGGTCTGCCCGGGGAGAACTTGGGCTGTAGCTCAGCATCTGGTTTTCCGTGTCTAGTCGGCCTGCCGCTGTTTAGGCTGTTCCTGATTTTGCATCATTCCCAACAGCGCTGCAACAAGCCCCTGTCACCTCTCCCATGGCTGGCTGGCCACCAGCTGCGTGGAGCTTCTGCCAGGTCATTGATCTAAACAGAGCCATCCCTTCCCACGCTTTGCCTTTGGTGGGGCTGTTCCTGCCTCCCGGACTGATTCCAGGGTGACCGGACAGGGAGGGGACTTCCCCAGGGTCCCACAATGAGTTAATTGGCAGGTCCTGGCCAAGGACATGGTCCTCTGGGTGGGCCAGCAACCGGGAGACTGGATTTCGGTGGCGGCAGATGCCTCTGTGATGGCCCAGACATTCCAGGTGCTCAGCAGCCCTCAGCCTGCACAGGGTCACAGGCCCTGCATTTTTTGCTGGGGCTGGGAAAGGAGGGACTGTTTCAGGTGACCCTTTGTGGCCTGAGCCCGCCACCCCACCAGAACTTTTCCTTTGTGACCTCGAGCCTGGGGTCAGCAGATTCCCAGGTTGGGACCTTCACAGAACCACGGACCGTGGCTCAGGAGATGGGGAGGAGACAGGAGCTGAGGTCTCTGGGAGGGAGTCGGCCCAGACCGGGCCATCCACATTACTGGGTGCAAATCCGGCTCTACCATGCCTCAGCTCTGGGACAGGAGCAGTTGTCTTCCCCTCCCCAAGCCTCATTTTACCCCTCTGTAAAATGTGGGGAGGTACCTGCCTGGCTCACCAAGAAGGTGAATGTAAATACCCTTAGCATACAGTGGGTGCTCAACATATGCAGTGCACTATGGATCATACCGTAGGTGCTCAATATATGCGATGCACTATGATCATTAATTGGCATTTGGAGAAGTCAGTCATCCATGCTTGAAACATCTGGCTGTTCCACGGCCGGGGGGGGACCCAAGGAGAAGAGAGACAGGGCCTCTCTTCTGTCATGCCAGGGGAGGGAGAGGGCAGACATGAATCGCCAGCTTCATTCAGCCTGACAGGGATGCAAAGTGCTGCGGGATCCCGAGCAGGGAACCATCATTCTGTCTCCTGCAGCTCATTCCCTGAGACCTTCCAAGCGCCCCCAGCACAGCTGCCCCCTCTAGGGCTCTGGATTCACCCCTCAGCCACAGTGCCACCGAGACTCCCACTGGGGCCCAAAGGACTCTGAGAGCTCAGGGATCTCTCCACCTAGAGACTCAGGGCTCCTGGAGGGAACCTGGACCTCTTCACCCATCCCCCCGGGGTCCTGGGCAGGGGCTGTGCATGGCACCTGAGCTTCCTCACTGTGGGTCTGTTTCAGGAACTGGTGCTCCTATGTGGTGACCCGGACCATCTCATGCCATGTGCAAAATGGCACCTACCTTCAGCGAGTGCTGCAGAATTGCCCCTGGCCCATGAGCTGCCCGGGCAGCAGGTGAGCGAGACCCTGGTGGAACGGAAGCCGAGGGTCCTATGCCCAATCTCAGCACCTCCCCTTCTGCTCCTGGGGCACCTGGAGGGCTTCCTGGGGAAAGGATTCCACCATTTACCCACATGCATTCACTTAGTGAGGCTTCACTTCTGGGGACAGGCCAGCTTGCAGGGACTCCCTGTCCAGTTAGTATCTGGATCCTCCCCCAACCTGGGGGGTTAGGAGGGATTGGAGGGGCTGAATCCCAGAATACAGGAGGAGAGAGGCTCCAGAGGGGCCCAGAGGTGGCAGAGGACCCCGGACGTTGTCCCCATGGACATCCAGGTGAGTGGGAAAGGCAGCAGAAGATTCTGTCTGAGTTCGGTCCCCTGGGCCCTTCTTTCAGCTACAGAACCGTGGTGAGACCCTCGTACAAGGTGATGTACAAGACGGTGACCGCGCGTGAATGGAGGTGTTGCCCTGGGCACTCAGGGGTGAACTGTGAGGAAGGTAGGACCACCCTGAGGTGCAGGCCAGGTGCCTTCCCTCGGGCGCGCGGCAGGAGCAGTCAACCCTTGCTAAGTTGGTGGGCGCCGCACGCTCAGCAGCGTGCACACCAGGGCCCACCAGTGAGGCATGGCTCAGACACAGCTGGGGCCTGCTGGCCCCCCAGGTGTTGACCGCCTGCCTCTTGGGAGGCTCTCACAACCTCTGGAGAAATTCCATACATGCCGTGGAGCTCACATCTTGAGTCACACCATCCCAAGTCTTTCCTCCAAGCTTGGGGAAAACCCATCTGGATGTGTCCATTGGATGTGCTCACAGCTCACAGAAGCAAAGCACCACTTAGGTCAAGATTGGCACAGATGGGATGCTTGTATCCGTCTTGCAGGTGAAGAAACCCAGGCTCAGGAAGGTGGCGGGTGTACAATTGCTAAGTGGCAGTCAGGGCCTGAGGGACGGGTGCACCACACGTAGTGCGTGTCCCAGGCACGGGGGACACTCTCACCCAGCCCCCTCCTCTGCAGGCCACATGTGTGGCTCAGGGCCAAGCACCCACACCTCTGCGGTACGGACGACACAGCCCGGGCCTCCCCACACCCTGGCCACATGCTCACCTGGAGAACCCTCTGCTCAAGGGCACCTGCCTCTCTGCTAAGCAGTCTGGGTGCCTCCTGCCCTCACTGCCTACCTGAACCCCACCAAGGGCTGTGTTCCCAGAATGGCCCTCCAGACCAGCCTAGAACCAGCCCCGAGAACCTATCCTGTAGGCACCTCAGTGGAAAGGGGCATTTGGGGCCCCCAAGGCAGCATCAGTTGCAAGACCTATTCTGATTCCAGAAACAGGAACATGTGAGACATGGCCTCTGGATCAGGAGAACGTGATACTAAGAGAAATCACCGTTTATAGGTGCTTCTTGAAAGACTTACATGCTTCACCTCCCTGGGACCCCATGAGAGTCCTGGTTCACAGACTGGGCAACAGAGGCCAACAGAGGTGGAGTTCCATGCCCAGAGTCCCACAGGGTGTGGGGCAGAGCTCACCACAAAGTGGGGGGGGGGAGGGGACCTGGCAGGTTCCCCTGTGGGGCCGCAGAGTTCCCAGTTCTGGTGGGATGGCCAGAGGGAGTGGGGGAGCTGCCCATGCCCAGCAGGGGTCCTTGTAGAGAGAGCCGGCCACCAGGCCAGTGTGGGAGGGCAGAAGTGACAGGGAACAAGGAATGGGACCCTCCCCTCCCTGCTGGGAGAAAGTGGGCAAGGCAGAAGGGCCCAGAGGGGTAGGAGGAGAGCCAGCCAGGAGGGGCTCCTGCCAAAGAGGCCACAGAGGAGCTGAGGGAGGGGAAGGGGGAGGGTGAATCCCCGGAGTTGGGGGGCCACCTGGGCCAAGCAGGCCTGAGCCCAGGCAGGGCCTGCCCAGACAAAGGCCACTGTGTCCCTGGCTTCCCTCTCAAGGGCAGACCTTCCCAGTTCTGCAGGGCCATCTTGGAGCCGGTGAGGGTGGGGACAGGTTGGGGCAGAGCCTGTGCCCTTGAGTCCCGCAGCTGGAGGCGGTGCATCCAGAAGCCAGGATCAAGGCTGAGGGCTCTGGCAATGGCAAGGTGGGGGTGCAAGGCAGAGGCTGGGCTGGGCCGCCCCTGATATCAGCCATCAACCTCGGCAGGGCCCCCAGTCCCAGCCTGGGGAGAGGAGTATCCAGGGCTTCGTGGGGCCAGGCCAGATCTGCTACGCCCCAGCTGTGTGGCCTTGGGCTGGGGACTCCCCATGCGTTGTGCAAGTCATTGTGCAAGGGCACTGGGCTGGGGGGTGGGGAGGCTGCAATGCAGGTGGCCCTCGTCTCGTGCCCACTCAGAGGGAGGGGCACTCTCTCTAACAAGCACCAAGCGGCTGTGTGCTCTTGAAGGACCTGGGGCTCCCCCACACTAAGCCTCAGTGTTCTCACCTGTGAAACGGACAGGATACTAGAGTCTGCCTCCCAGGGATGTTTCAAGGATGAAATGCAACAGTAAAGACCCTGCAGGTGGCGTGGCTGCCCAGGGTGGGCATAATGTGATGATCAATGGGACAGGAGGGGCCTCTCCCAAACCCATACAGTCAGAGCTCAGTAAAGGGATGCCCAGACCTGGATATTCTGGAAAACTGCTCTGCTAGGAGCCCTGGGAATGGGGGTGGGCTACTGTGACGACGTTGCAGGCCCACCCCAGGCCCTGCCCTTCCTCTGACAACTGGCTTGAACCTGAGCTCCCCCAGCTGTTTCCCCTGCTGGTGACTTACCTCATAGTCTGCCCAGCACTGGGACATGGACCTGGGGCCACAGAGATGGGTCACCGTAGCAGCCTGGGTGGCCTGAAGGAGGAGAGGGAGGACCCATCATTCCAGAATCCAGATCTAGATCAGCCGTGCTTTGCTGTGTGACCTGGGGCAAGTCACTCCACCTCTCTGAATCTTGTCTCTATCTGGAAGTCACCTGGGATGCAAAAGTACCCACCTTGTACTTTTATTATGAGCATCAAAGACTCAGGCCTTGAACCTTCGGCCCCTGTGCTGGGGATTCTGTGATGGCCCTCCGGGATTATCCTGCCTCTGACCTCTGAGGCCACACTTCTCAGTCAGCTGCTCAGCAGACAGGCCTCCCCATGCTTCCCCACCCCCATTCCCAGGGCCCTAGTCTCCAGATTCTTCGCTCATTCACAGCTCTTAGCCCTGGCTTTCCCATCTGCAGAATGGGAACGTTCACTCTGTGATGATGAGCGAGGCTGTTCTCTGACGTTCATGACAACCTGGGAGGACAAGACTGGAATAGGCCCCATTTTACAAATGGGGAAACCAAGGCACAGGAGAGTGAATGGGCTGACCTGGAGTCCCTCAGCACAGGAGGAGCCAGGATTGGGACCTGCCTGACCAAGCCTCTATAAGTGCCTCCGGCACTTGGGAAGGGGCGACTAGATGGCAGGGAGGGAGCCAGGCTGAGGTCTCACCTGGCTGCCCGCTCCCATTGGAAAACATTTGAGGAAGGGCCAAGGCCAGAAGGTAGCCCGTCTGCTGGTCCTGACCCCCTGGGGGGCCCTGCTGAGGAAGGGCTGCTGTGGCCTCCCTGTGATCCTGCCTGGGGGGAGTCCCAGCAGACAGATCTTTCATCCATCAGCCCTGTTGTCCAGATGATGTAAGTGAGGCTCAGAGAGGGCGTAGGTCTCATCCAAGGTCACACAGCAAGTAAGCTTTGCAGCTGGGATTCTCGGAGCAGAGCCAGGGCTTTGACCTGAGGTCTGCAGCATCCGCACTCCCCCCCCAGACCCTCCTGTAGTCACAGTGACGAGGGGAAGGAAAGCATCCCCTGTCTGCCATGCCCAGCACCATGACTCATACTCACTGGCGTCATACTATCGTGTCACGGTGCAGGAGGTCCAGATGTAGAAATCGAGGCTGGGAGACGGAAATGCCTTGCTCGGGGTCACATCCAGATTCAGAGTCCATCCGTATGACCCAGGGCCAGGAGTTTTCCTCTGTAGCAGCACCAGCCGAGGACTCCCAGGGGAGGACATTCAGACAGTTGGGGCATCATGAGACTGGCAGAAGCCCTTCTCAGCCCCAACCCCGCGCAGACAGAAAGAGGAGCTCCCTCCCCCTCCTCTCCCATGGGATCCCCCGGAGTCAGGCGACCTCTGTGTACCCCTCAGTGTCTCCACTGTCCTTAGCGCACGTGTCCCTTCCCCATCTGGCGACCCCCACAGCCCTTGTCTTCTGTGATGGGGAACCAGAGAGGGAAGAAGTTTGCCCGAGGTCACACAGCAGAAAAGCTGAAGAACAGATGGGAGGTTGGGGCGGCCTCACCACCTCTCCATCCCTAACTAGATGCCAGTTACAGGGCCAGGTTTATGCTTTGCTCTGAGGATTCAGGATCCTGTGGGCTCAGTGCTGCAGGAATCTGCCCAGGTCCGCCACCCCCCTACTCCACTCCCATCTAGAAGACCTGGCGACCCCCATCTCCTGACTCCTGCCAGCCCATCCTCCACCCCCAGCCGGCGCCCCCCCCCTCCACCCTCCTGGCCCCACCCCCCGGTGATGTGCTCCAGCCCTGCCCTCCCTCCATCTTAGCCCCGGCCCACACTGGCCCTCTCTCCCACCCCACAGCCAGGGCAGCAGCTGTCCCCTCTGCCTGCGACCTTCCTGGAGCTGCCACCTGACTACCAGGGCCCCCATGCTACCAGCACTGCTCCTGTCTCTCCAGTACCTGACCTATGAATGGGAACCTCATTTTACCCTGAAGAGCGGGCCAGGCCAGAGACAGACTGAGGCTTCCCAGAGGCCTGCCGGAGGTTCTCAGAGCTCCCGGCCCCACCCCTGACCCCATCCTTGGTTCAAGCCAACAGCAGCAAATATTTACATTTGCAGTGTAACTTCCCAGGAGGACACCTGGCCTGGGGCTGGGGAGGCAGCATCCCTGTGGCTGTGGTCACTGGACGGCAGACCTGTGGGTGGCTTGTGAATGAGAAAGCCCCTCTCCCAGCGCCTTTCCAGAGAGAAAAAGGCAGAGATGAAGCCCAGGGACACTCTCAACTTCTCGCATCTGCATTCCCAGCTTAGCGTGGGGTTTGAATCCCCACCGCCCCACCTGGCTGTGCAGACAGGTAGCCTCTCCTCTCTGGGCCTCATGTTCTCATGAGGACCCAATGAGAAGGGGCTTCTTAGCTTAATCCTGGTCCTGGGCAGAGGAAAGGGGAGCTGCTTGTGGGGCACAGGGCTCAAAACTGTCCATGATGCCGTCCTTGTGCAGATCAAGACAGGGAGTATGGAGTGTTGAGAGCTTCAGGGAGGAGCTTTGGTGAGTACCTTGGTCTGTCTGGGAAGACTTTCTGGAGGAGGTGACATAAGACTGACCGCTGCCGGGAAGGGGGTAGGGGGGCAGTGTGTGTGTGTGTGTGTGTGTGTGTGTGTGTGTGTGTGT